AGAGGATTGTCCCTCTCTCCACTTCTTGCCTCCTCCTCCTCATGACCCAACCCCTCTAATCTGGCTTCTAACCCCATTATCTCTCTCTACAGGCATTAACAACCTGCAAGTTACCCATGAACTAGACATGTTTCAGTCCTCATGCTGCTTGCCTCTTAGCAGCATTCAATTTTGCTTATCTATTCCTCCTCCTTAAAACATTCTCTTCCTTTAGTTTCAGTGAGACAATCCTCCTGTGTTTCCCTTCCACTCTCTAGACACTCCTTCTCAGCCTCTATTCTGACTCCACTTGCCTTTACTCAGCTACTCATTGTTGGGGTAACGTTCTTCTCCTCACTGTACACTCTCTCCCCAACCAAGTTCACTGGTTTTACAGTGGCAGTTGCCACCTCTATGAGAAGACTTCCACATACATCTATGCCATCCAGTCTTTTCCTCAAGCTCCAGATTTATATCTCCCACCATCTACTTAACTGCTTCTAAGGTACCTCAAACTCAGTTCATTTAAATTAAGTCAGGATTATCCTTCCTTTGCTCCCCCAAAACACTTGATCTTCTTCCAGAATTCCCTAGCTCAGCAAAACAACATTACTCACTCTGTTGCACCAGACCCACTGTCCTCCCCTTCACCTGCATCCAATCTATCACCCCCAAATTGAGGATTCTACTTTCTCATTTGCTCTCAAATCTGTCCACCTCTCTCCACAGCCCTAGTGCAAGTTGCCATTACGTCTTACCTGAAATAACAACAGTAGCCTCCTCATTGAACTACTCTGGACTCTTCCAATCTGCCTCTCACACTACAGCCAAAAGCACAAAGGGTATCTGATGATACCACCCCTTGTGTGAAATCTTATATAACCTCTCATAGCTCTTAGCTTAAAGGCCAAACTCTATAACATGCTATTCATGGTCTCACATGGAATGGTCTCTCCCAGCCTCTCCAGCTTCATCTTGCCCTGCATGCCCTCTCCTCTCTCTCTGCTCTGCCCAGAAGAACCTTCTTTCAATTTCCCACACTCACCACACCAGGCTTTTATAAGTGATTTTTCTTCTACTTGGAATTCCCTTTCTCCCCTCTTAATGTAGATCTTAGCCTTCTGATTACAACTCAAATTTACAGTTTCAGGAAAGGCTTCTGTAACCTCCTTGACTAATACTAAGGTCCTCAAAGCACCTTGGACCTGTCCTCTGTAGCACTGGTTATAGCTGCTGTCTTGCTTTTTTATGTCTGACTATTTGGTTAATGTCTATTTCCTCCAGTAAACAGTAAGTTCTATGAAATGAGCTCTCCTTCACCATCCATCCTCAGCCCCTAGCATGCAATAAATGCTCAATAAATATTTAATAAATAAATGAATGACCAAAGTTTATATCTTCTTAGAAATTTTTCAGTAGTAAAACCTTCGTCAGTCAAGTGGCGACCCAAAAAAATTAATGAATTCACGGTGATTCATTTTAGGAGAAAAAAAGATAGATATTCATATGATGACATTTGCAGCAGATCTTTTGTGCCAAATGTATTCTTTGTATAAACAGTCTCTTCTTAAATAAGTTATTTTCAAGAGTACTATCATAAAACAGATAATTTTGTTTATCAGAATGTGTGATGTATTTATATTTGTGTGTATTAATAACATACATATATGTATGCATATGTACACATATATGTGTTTATATATGTGTGTATACATATATATATATAAAACATACAGTATATGATGGTGTATATGTTATAGCTAAAGCTTCCAGTGTGACAGACATTATAAACTTCTATTCATTGCCAAAAGATTTCAAGCCAAGTGTTGAACCACAACAGATGGAACTCTTGCTAAAAATCCCATGAAAGCATTGTAGGTAACATCTTAAAATGTTCCAGAATACCAAGAATGTACAGGCATGTGGGATGGTGGTTACAGTGTGCTCAATTTATACAACTCAAACAAGTGATCTTCCTTATCATAGACCTTAAGCAAGTATATTAGAACTATTTTTCCCAACACTGGGCAAACTTAACAGTGTCCAGGCAGTATGGGAAAGTGCTTAACATTTAAAACTAAAGTCCTACGGCCAGATGTTGCCAGTAATATCTACCCATAAGATCTTATTAATGAATCTAAGTGGGACCAACATGGTATATGTGTGTGAAACTCTTTCTTACTAAAACCTTAATCCTAAGTCTAAATCTTCTTTATTTTCACCTTCCTGATCTTTTCCTATTGCTCTATTTTCCTATTGCTCTATTGCTCCTATTGCTCTCTATCGGTCATTACTTGGAAAGTCTGGGCCAATCTTCTTTGATGAGTTTCTCATAAAGGTACAAAGGTGAAAACACATACAGCTCAGAACTTCTGAACAGGTTACCTTCTTGGAAAGTGACCTTAGCATTTTATTTCTCACTGATAACACAGTAAGTCAAATTCCACAAACATTAATTCTGAACATTTTTTCCTGTAACACTATTTTCTGAATCCAAGAACATGAATATGATCTTATACTGCCATCCTATTCTTTAATTTCATAGAAAGGTATGACATTTTTCTCCCTACAATAGTTTTGCAGTTTCTTTTTTTTTTTTCTTAGACAGAGTCTCGCTTTGTTGTCCAGGCTAGAGTGAGTGCCGTGGCATCAGCCTAGCTCACAGCAACCTCAAACTCCTGGGCTCAAGCAATCCTCCTGCCTCAGCCTCCCAAGTAGCTGGGACTACAGGCATGCGCCACCATGCTCAGCTCATTTTTTCTATATATATTAGTTGGCCAATTAATTTCTTTCTATTTATAGTAGAGAGGGGGTCTCGCTCTTGCTCAGGCTGGTTTCAAACTCCTGACCTCGAGCAATCCGCCCGCCTCGGCCTCCCAGAGTGCTAGGATTACAGGCGTGAGCCGCCGCGCCCAGCCAGTTTTGCAGTTTCAACCTTTTATATATCATATGACCTATTACTGTCATCTACTATGAGGATACTAATTATTTCCTAGAAGTTTTGGAGCAACATAGAATCACCTGGGGACTTCATTGAAAATACATGGTAGCTCACCCCACCTCCAAATTTTGATTTGGTAGGTTGAGGGTAATGCTTTGGAATGTGCATTTTAACAAGCCAGCAGATAATTCTGATATAGGTTGCTTTCAGAACACAGTTTGGGAAGCATAGTTCTTAAGGCTTATAAAATAGTAGTCCTGCAGCATTTTTGGATCAATACATCAGTGATTGATCAGAGAAGCCTGGAAAGCATACTATGTTTTGATGGGTATGAAATTACTGAGAAGGAAGCCATTCAGTCACATGTGGCAGTGCCCTAAAAGGGCTACTGTCAAACATAGTTTGTCCTATTTTGGTCCCCACTTACCTTGTAGGATGTTACAACATCAGTGCTGAGTATGCCTCCTCATTTCTTCACTACCAATAAAGAATTATGGCACTCTAAAACACTGCCTGGATATTCACCAGAAACATACAATTTGTTATGATCCTAGCAATTTCAAAAACCACAGGCACTCAGTCTACTAAATGTGGCTCCTATGTCTCCCTCATTTAATGCTTCTATCCTTTTTTAAGCATATCCTCTGTAATTATAGTTGGCTTTCTCAGAACTGGCATACGCACACACATACAGAAAAAAACAAAAAAACAAAAAACAACCAGCAAAACCACAGAAGGGGATTGAAGTTGATTTGAAACTTTCTACATATACAAAGAGATTCCCCATAGACTATATAGAAGTCATAATTCCCAAAAGCAGTGATTTTAAGGGAGAAAAAAATAACATACTGTACATTTTTTCTTATTTGAAAAACTAAGTATTTGGGGTTGATATTTTTTTCTTTCAGAATATGCCTCCTTTTAAAGCCATTTATCTTTAACAATCAGGAAAGGATATCTAGAAATTTAAATATCACAAATAAACTCACGACAGTCTCAAATATGAGTTATTCGTGCACAATGCAATATTTTCGAGACAAAATTGGCTTAAGTATAAGGAATTTCTGAGTCTGGATGTAAATCAGTGTGCTATGTGAATAGTAGTTACACTGTCTATTGTCACTCCCTGTCACAGGAACAAGCAGGAAGTCTGGGAATTAAAGGGAGCAGCCACAGGTAACATAGAAAATACTCCCAATGCAGCACATGTTATTGGGTTTGCTGGAAAATGATAGTCTTGGTGAATAAATGGATCAGTTACTCAGAAAAAAAGTTTGCCTTCCTTTTGGGACTCTTTTAATTGCTTCTCACACCTGCATTTTTATTAAAGGTACAAGTTCCAAATCTGCAGGTTTTGAACCTTAAAAAAATTGCCTGCCTTACTATGAAATCTATCATTATTCCTAACACTTTCATATAGTCTCTTTGGATATGATATTTCTTAAACCACCTGTTCATCATCACAATAAAAGGATGATCATGTTCATTTTATGTTGGTTCATGGTCATGATCAAGTCGCTACTATTTATTAATCCCTTACTATGACCAAGGCTTGGTTAAGCAAGGCCACTGTTAACCTCCATGGCACTTTCATGTGCCTTCATTAATGTGGATGTACTCCATGTGGGGATACATGGCTCAATCTACAAAATTTGGGATGAATTTTAGCCCCCATTTACCACCTTTGCCGAGTGCCTTTGTGTGATGAACAACCTGCATACCCATTTGTGTCAGCCCTCTTGTTAAGCATAACAACTCTAGAGAATAGGAAACTGAAGCTCAGCAAGGTTGAAATAACTTGCCCAAGACCAGTCAGCTGATAAGTGGCAGATTCTGGACTTCAACTGAGGTCTGGCTCCAAAGACAGTGCCCTTACCCGTAATGTAAACTATAAGCCTACACCAGAGAAAGTTTTTTGGATAGACCTATATGACCTATTATAATCAGGAGTAAACATGGCATTCAGCACACTATGTTTAAGTAAATTATAATTGGTTAGAGACATATTCAGAATTACAACAACTCTTCAAATAAGATTGAGACTGAATTATTGAACTCTTGTGCTCTTGAGATAAAAGGGGTCATATATGATTACAAAAATTGCTATTTTCATTATGTTACATTACAAACTGTAAGATTCCACTTTGCATGATGCCCAAGACTCTTTAGGTTTGGCCCCTCAGTGAATCTCATGCATCATCTCTTGCTCTCCTTCTCCACCCTGCTTCCTCCCAAGTTCCAGTCACACAGAATGGGTTACAGATCCCAGAGTGCGTTTAGTGCCTCCTCCCCCAGCCTTGGCCCTTTGCTATGATTTTTTTTTATTTTTTGCAAAATAGCCTTCCTCTTTTCACCTTCATAACTGCTACTTACTTGTCCCTGAGAATTCAGCTCAGTGTGTTCTAGTAAGACCCTGTGCATGGCTCTATTCTGCTATTTGTCCCACTATACTACAATTGACTCTGTACTAGCTTCCCTACTACAATCCTCTACATCACAAAGATTAAGGCTCTCACATTTTCTGAGCTTCCTCTAGCCAAGCAGTCTGGTTCTCAGACTTTCCTCACAGCATGGCCCCCAAATGCCAGTCTCCCCTCCCACCTCAAAAGTAGAAACCAAGACTTACTGCCCCAAGGCTGGAAGACACATTGGCCTCTCTGGGCAGGCCAAAGAAGAAAGAAAAAGAATAGCAAGAATCAACTGAACATATTGATGAAGTACAAAATAAAGTAGACAGACTTAATGAACAAGCCAGTGAGTAGATTTTGAAAGTAGAACAGAAATATAACAACTCCACCAACCACTCTTTCAGAAGAGGTCAAAATTGATCACCCAAATCCCAAATTGTAGCGTAACATTTGTCAGACATCCACAAGTGTCTGCACTGCTTGGGGAGGAGGACGAAGAGGCACTAAATTTGTTGATCAGAGTCGAAGAGACAGAATTTGAAGATAATAAATCAGAATAGATTTTTACAGAATAGATTTTTATTTTGATGAAAATCCATACTTTGAAAATAAAGTTCTCTCCAAAGAATTTCACCTGAATGAGAGTGGTGATCCATCTTCAAAGTCCACTGAAATCAAATGGAAATCTGGAAAAAATTTGATGAAGCATTTCAGTCAAATGCAGAGTAAAGCCAGCAGGAAGACGCAGCATGAGGAACCAAAGAGCCTCTTTACCTGGCTTATTGACCGTTCTGATGCGGGTGCAGATAAACTAGGAGAGGTCGTCAAAGATGACATTTGGCCAAATTCATTATAGTACTATGTGGCTCCTGATATGGATGATGAAGAAGGGGAAAGAGAAGATGCTGCTGCTGAAGAACAAGGTTTGGAAGATAATGATGAAGCAGTGGATGAAGATGAAGGTGAAAAAGATGAAAATGACATTGAAGAAGAGAAAAGAGAGGAGGATGAAGGAGAAGATGATAACAGAACAGGGATGGATTTCAACCTTCTCTTTTAAAAATTTTCCCTAGTCCCTGGGAGCAAGTTACAGTCTTTATTTTTTTTTTTCTTTTGTGCTCAGTTGTCCTCTTCTTGAGATCTCTTTTCTCTACACCATGGTTCTCAACTTATTTGGGTGGGGAAGGGGGAGATACCTGGAGCAGAATACAATGGGAACAGAATCTCTACCCCTTTCTGTTCTAAATTCATTTTTATCCCTTCCTGTCTCAACAAAAACTGTATGGAATCACCACCACTGAGCTCTATGGGAAAAAAGACAAACCTGCTCCCTTCACTCTGCTGGAAGCTGGAAGTAGTAGTGCAGAGAATTCTAGCTTTTTCCCTCCTTTCTCTGTGTACTGGGCTCAGAAAGTACACTGTGTCTCTGTGTGAATGTGGACAGTCAGCTCTTACCAACATGTATGTCTACCTTCTCTTATTTAAAAAAGAAAAAAGGCCAGACATGGTGGCTCGCACCTGTAATCCTAGCACTTTGGGAGGCCAAAGTGGGAGGATTGCTTGAGCCCAGGAATTTGAGACCAGCTCTGAGCAAGAACAAGATCCCATCTTTATTTAAAATATAAAGAAATTGGCCAGGCTTGGCAGCATGTACCTATAGTCCCATACTCAGGAGGCTGAGGCAAGAGGATAACTTGAGCCTGGGAGTTTGAGGTTGCAGTGAGCTATGATAACACCATTGCACTCTATCAGGGGCAACAGAGTGAAACTCTGTCTCAAAAAAAAAAAAGGATGCCACTCTACCAGCCAGAGGACATCAGGAATGGCCTATCAGGGGATGCCATGCTGGAACAGGATCTGTATTAGACTTGGTAAAAACAAGTCCAAGATAACTAGATGAGCAAGTGAGAGAAAGTGCTCCTTAAACTCTTCCCTAGTAAATTAAAAATGACAAAGAAAACCAAAGTAGACTGCATTGACATGGTTAAATTCCCAGTACCTTCCGTTCTTCAGGGATGGACTAAATGGCTGGTATCGTTGGTTACAAAAGTATCTTGAACTTGATGGAGCTTATATTGAGAAATAAAGTTTATGTTTTTTATTTATACCTTTTAATTCCATTTTCCCACAAACTTGTGAAGTCCCCTCATATATTCCAACTCGGCCCAATCTGACACATAACATGAGCTCAGTCACTGCTGTTCTCCATCTCTCCCACCCAGCTCTGTGTCTCACAAGGCTACCACGTGGTTCCTGAATAAACAGGCCCCTTTACCTCTGGCTTTCAGTTACCTTCAACCACTGGGGACACCAGCTGGAGGTCAGAGGGAGGGAGGAAAGTGAGGTCACATCATGTACTTGTGGGCTCCCTCCCTGCTTGGACAGAGATCAGCCATGCCCTCTGCTCCAGGCCACAGCTCCTATCAGGCAGTGCCCTCCATACAGGTCTTCCATTGGGTCCTGACTGCTCTCCCCTCTCCTCTTCACACAGAGGGTGTTATGCCTGCGTGGTTACTGGCCCCTGAGAGTACTCTTCCTACAGACTGCTCACACCTGGGTAAATAGTGGCTTTATTAACTCCCCTCAGCTGCTCAGCTTGTGATACCATCTGTTTTCTGCCCGGACTCTGCATGACCCATAGCTGTTCCCATCTGGGGTCTATGAGGCTTCATGCCTGTGCTGGCTGGACCCTCACAGGCTCTAGCCCCCTTATTAGTCCTTTCTAGTGAAGCTTCAGAAAAGCTTCCTAGTGATGGCCCATTTGACCTATGACTGATACCCAGTCTCTTTCCTGGATCTGATACCTAGGAAAGCTTAAATTGGCTCATACCCTCAGTCCTCAACCCATGGCTGTCTCAGAGCGACTGCTTTACGCGCTTGTTTCTGAGTTAATTGATTCTTCCAGCTTCTTTAGATTCTTTTGTGTATTTTTCATCACACATCTCTGTTGCTGCCTCAATCCTTTTCTGTACTCTTTCTGGAAAATTCTTTCCCCCTTCTTCATCAAGGACCCAGCTTTCATGCCACCTCATCTCAACTAAAAGTGGAATTTCCTCTCTTTGAATGCCATAACACTTGGCTTATACTTCTCCAGTGGCACTCATCAAACTCCGTGTTGACCTGGAATTTGTAAAATGCTATCTCCCCCTGTAACATGATAAATTCAAGCTCCCTGTGAGTAGGGTTCTGTAACCCCTCAAATCTAAATACAGTGCCTTTCAGCCCATCTGTGTTCAAAAATATGTGTGAGATGGATGAATGGCTGATGGATAAATAGATGAATATTCTTTATTGCTTTATTCTTTCTGCTGTGGGCTTCTCCACTCTAAGGGATCTGTTAATATTGTGCTCTCATTCATCAACATCATGTTGAGGAAAATTAGCACCTTCAAAATTCATTTTTTATCAACATAATTATTTTCAACTCAGTGCAGAAAGGGGTACAATCAATGGATAAACATTTATATTAGCATTCTTAAAAGCTTTTGTTGTAAACATGGTTGCAGTTTGGGTTCCAATTGCACTCAAGAATTCAGTTTTATGATCCATAGCTTTTCAGCCAAGTTGATATTTAAAGAAAGGGAACAGATCCAGGTTAATAGAGAATGTCTTGACCAAATTGTGGTGCTTTGAATGAAATAATGTGTTATTAGAAAGTGAGAAAATGTTTGATTGAATATCCTGTGTGTGCTACATGTAAACAGGATCATTTTAAATACATGATCATGGCACATGTTATTTTAAAACTAGAATATGATAATTTTTAAAAAATTAATTCCTTGTTTTGGTTGTGAAGAGGCTGTGATATTATATGAGAATTACTTGCTTACAAGGACATACGCTACCCCTATTAAAATGACGCATGCCCAGTTGTGCATATGATAGACATAGCTGCAAACATTTTTAAGATGTGGGATTGTAGGTGGAAATACTTTAAGTCTTTTTTTCTTTTTCTTTTGAAACTATTTTAAAATTAATTTTACAACTAACAAATAGCCTGGCTTTTACTAAATTATCTCAAGCTGGCCTTGATTCTTAAATTTGGGCCCTAACATTCAGCTGCTTTAAAGTTCTGCTAAAATTTGCTTCCTAAAACCCATTCCATGGACATTTTCCCTGGGATTAATTTTTACTAGACTACAGTGAAAACTTTTTGGTTAGTAGCATATCTCTGAAGCTCTTCATCCTTTGTTCTTAATAATCTCATCATTTTGTCTTGAGTCTCTGTCATGGCCATTATATCCCATTCAGCCCTGTCTCTAGGGAGTCCTTCAACACTTTTGCCAAGTGCTCCTTGCACACTTTTGTCCCACACACTCTTCAAGTGAAACATTTGTGTCTGCCTTGAGGAGAAATACAGCAGTTAATCTGCTCTGTCATTAGTTTTAGGCAAAAAAAAAAAATTGAACACCATAGTTTTAGGCAAAAAAAAAAAAATCTGCTCTGTCAGATCCAAAAGGATATATGCATGTGCTTAAATATTACCTAAATTGATCACAATTTGAAATCATCTCAGATATCATAAATATTTCAAATGCTTCTTTGAGTAAATATGAGAGACTAAGACAGGAAAAATGTACCATTATTAAATAGCATTACAGCAAATCATCTTACCATTAAAACCATGGCAAGAAAGCAATGTGATTACAAACTGGGAAGGAAAGTCTTTACTAAAAGTGGGGGTGGGAGCAGTAGTGCTTTGTGCCTTACCATTTACCTAGTATCTTCACAGGAATTTCTTTATTTTGATTTTGACCTCTCAACATCCCTGTTAAGTGGGAGGGGACTGTTATTATTTCCTATTTGCTGATCTGAAAACGGTGGTTGAGAGGACTCGACCCTAAATCTTCTGAGTTCATTCAAAATCCTTGAACATTACAATTAGATTAGTGGTATTTCTCATTTGAAAACATGGAAAGTGACTGTTTTTAAAAATGTTTATTCCATCCCTCTGTACTACAAAAAAAAAAATGTTTAATCTAATTTTGGGGTTGGGTTTTTGTTATTTGTTTTCATTTATTTTTCCCCCTTTTCCCTCCTCTTGGATTTCCTCTCAAAACTTTCTTCCTCCTCCCAGATAGACATTTTATGACTCAAGAGCACATTGTGTTTTTTTTTGTTTTTTGTTTATTTGAGACAGAGTCTTGCTTTGTTGCCCAGGCTACAGTGAGTGCCATGGCATCAGCCTAGCTCACAGCAACCTCAATCTCCTGGGCTCAAGCAATCCTTCTGTCTCAGCCTCCTGAGTAGCATGCGCCACCATCCCTGGCTAATTTTTTTCTATATATATTAGTTGTCCAGTTAATTTCTTTCTATTTATAGTAGAGACAGGGTCTCACTCTTGCTCAGGCTGGTTTCGAACTCCTTACCTCAAGCAATCCGCCCTCCTCGGCCTCCCAGAGTGCTAGGATTACAGGCGTGAGCCACCACGCCTGGCCAAGAGCACATTGTTAATAAGAATTTACTGAGCCCCTAGCCCAGGCACACTCTGTGCCAAGGCTGTTCCTGCTGTCACAGAATGTGTAGCGCAGAGGGATGATGCAGTGTCATAAGTGCTTTAACTGAGGTCACTGCAGAGTGTGGGGACTGCACAAAGAAAGCCACCAGTATGTTTATGGAAAATTTAAGTTTTCAAAGGACATTACTAGCTTTAAAAATGCTCTAAATCAGATTATTCCTAGTGAAGCAAAGCAGAACACCGAAATAATCTTCTTGAGATTGATTTTCAATTTATCCTTCACATTTCCTGCTTTCCCTGCCCTCTGCTATGCACAGTACTGGTCACCATGGAGCTTCTCAGATGATGGCAGATACTTCTCAACGCTGAGGTCTCAGATCACACATCACTTTGAATGTCCAAGCTCTTTCCTGACCTCTTAAATGCATGAACACCAAACTGCCAAGTCACTTGCTTTCTATTCTATTTTCATCTTAGCCTTTATCACTATCTAACAATATATTTGATATGTATTTTCAGTTTTTAGCCTTAATTTGGAGTTGCCAATGGAACAGCCAATTGAATAATCATCAGACTATTCAATTTTTCAAAAGAAATTTCTTTTAAAAAAGCTAAACTAGCCTTAATAGAACTTTGTTTATGAAAACTATACTTTCATTATTGTTATCCTAAAAATGCTCTGTCAAGGTGGAAAATCCTCCTGTATCAGGTAGTTATTTGACCTACATTAGATAAAAGAAGCCAGGTACAGTGGCTCACATCTGTAATTCCAGCACTTTGGGAGGTCAAGGTGGGAGGATCTCTTGAGGCCAGGAGTATGAGGCCAGCCTGGGCAACATAGCAAGACCTCATCTCTACAGAAGAAAAACCTAAAAAATTAGTCAGGTGTGGTGGCACATGCCTGTAGTGCTAGCTACTCAGGAGGCTGAGGCAAGAAGATTGCTTGAGCCCAGGAGTTTGAGGGTATAGTGAGCTATGACTATACATTACACTCTAGCCTGGGTGACAGAACAAGATTTGATTCTGTCTCTAAAACTAAAAGAAAAAAGAAATGGT